GCTACTGTTGCTGCTGCTGCTGCTGTACTACGACTATCACATCGATGACAACGGCCGCATCCACTTAACGCAGAATCGCAAAGTTCCAGACGTCACCCAGCAACTCCCCCAGTTCAAGTCACGCGGCGCGCAATGCATTACATGATAGAATACTGTTGGTAGCTGCCAGCGCTGTTGCTCAGAATCGTGATCAAACCACACGCGATTCGAGTTTTTAAGTTGTGTTGTAGGGCTTAGCCAGATTCTGAAGTTGGCAGCTTCGCTGCAGGACATCGCCGAGTTCCAATCGACACTGGAGGCTTCGAACGAATGATTCCTTTTCATGTCTATTCCTATATATGTGATGTGTACATGTANNATGTATGATGTATGTATGCATGTATGTATGCACATGCGCGTGCGTGCGTGCGTGCGTGCGTAGGTAGGTAGGCAGGCAGGCAGGCAGGCAGGCAGGGAGGTAGGTAGGTAGGTATGTATGTGTGTATGTATGTATGTATGTATGTACGTACGTACGTACGTATGTATGTATGTATGCGTGTATGTATGTATGTTTGTATGTATGTATGTATGTATGTATCGTACATATATATATATATACACATGCATGTGTATATATATATATACATAATCTTACATCCATTTACCTTCACATACATGTTCTCACATAAACATGTACAATTATGCAGGCACATAAATACCTCTGCACAAACAAACATGCATACATACATACCTGCATATATATATATGTATATACAAACATACATACCCATATATATCTATATATGTATGTATGTATGTATGTATGTATGTATGTATGTTATGTAATGTAATGTAATGTAATGTAATGTAATGTAATGTAATGTAATGTAATGTAATGTAATGTAATGTATGTATGTATGTATGTATGTATGGTATGTATGATGTATGTATGTATGTATGTATGTATGTATGTATGTATGTAAGTATATATGTATGTATTTACGGACACACATACATATAGACATACGCACACATACAAATATCTACTTTGAGATTTCTGTGTCATAGTAGCGCGTAAGGAGGTTCCTCGACAGCAAAAAGTCAGAGAGCTCATTCAGCCTTCCGAGGTAAGTCAGGGTTAAACACGATTGGCCATCCTTATACTCGTCAGTCAGGAGTTAGGGGTTCCTTGTCCTTGTCGCCAACGTAAGATGGCACCTTCATGGCAGAAACCTCCTTGCGGTTTTGTGAGACCATTTATGACAGCTATTAAAGCGACAATCATGGACATAGCGACCGGTATCTCGTTTTGAGGATATAAGACGTCATCAACAAGAGTAAATGAAAACTGAGCTGGCAGCCTTGTAGTAAAATATACCACTAAAGAAACGCTGATGTAGGGAGTAATCTTTGAAGATTGAAGAGAGTTCTTCCTCATGTTGTGCTACGTTTTGTGGCAACTATTAGAGAAGCAACCATGGACATTTCGACCGGTATCTTTTTCCAGGATATAAGGCAGCATCGATAAGAGTAACTGCGAACTCTCTGTTTCATAGGAAGGATCATAGGAAGTCTCCATTGTCCGTTAATGATCGCAGAATGACAAAAAGTTCTTACAGTCTGTAGTATGAAGTAAACTGAGATTGAGATGGGCCGTCTTATTAGTTGAAGACTTGCGAGAGCTCCTTGCACGTTGTGATGCAGTGTTCCTGTCTTGGACATCACGAAACACGTTAATGCTCAAAAACTTCCAAAATGTCCAACCCTGAAACTCACGAAACAGTGCAATGCTCAAAACATTCTCAAAATTCCAAAATCCTGGCATTTATGGCTAGGGGTGGAAAGGCTCCAAAAGTTTGGACGTTTTCGAAGTTTTTGAGCATTACATTGCGTCGAATCTCTCCCTCGCTCGCAAAGTTTATGTTTACTCATTCTTCCAGCATCAGAAACCTTACGATTGCAAGAGCAGGTGTGCACTACGATGTCTGAGTTGAGTAATTTGCCCTTGCAGATTTAAAGGTTTAGCGATTATCCCAGCGTCCGAACGTCGATTGCAAGAGCGAGTGTGCGCGAAAGCGTATGAGCTGAGTTGACTGCAAGATGTGCAGCCAACCGGGGCCGCAGGAACGTAGGACTGCAGTCACAAAAATAAGTAGACATAAACAAGCAACTAAATAAGCATATATATATATATATACCACACACACACGCACACATATATTTATATTCATGCTCGCCCCCCAAGATCCACGCTTTGGTGGTTCATTGGGCTTGGGGGTGCAAGAAACACTGTACTGCTCAAATAATTCCAAAGCTTCCAATCTTAGCAACTCGCGAACCAATGTAATGCTTAAAGAGTTATAAAAATTCAAAAATTCCGGAATCTATGGCTGAGGGGGGCCGGGGGGAGGGGAGGGGCGTACAGGGCTTCTGGTTGTAGTATCGGGCTTCCGGTTGTAGTAGCCCCCGGCAGGGGTTGGTGTAAAAAGTTTGGACTTTTCGGAGTTTCTTGAGCATGACAATGTTCAGTGAGTTTCAGGGTTGGGAATGTCAGAAGTTTTTCGTTATGTTTCTGAGCCACTAAATACTGCAATGCTCAAAAAAATTCCAAAACTTCCAAGAACTGGGAGATTCTCCTTCCCCCCCCCCGCCATAGGTGCCAGGATTTTGGAACGTTTTGCAATTTTTGAGCATTACAGTGCTTCGTGAGTTTCAGGCAGCGTTTTTGCTTTCTGATGTTAAGGTTGTTCGGTTAAGTAGTTCTACATGTACATGTAGCAATACATAAACTCCACACACATGTTCATATACGCATATGCATTCCATCGTACGTAAGCTCGCACTTACGTACGTACATACATGCAGTCATACAGACACACATGCACACTTGCACGCACACATATATTAATAGTGTGTTCATGTGATCCTCAAATTGTTTACTGTACGTAATAATAAATAATTAATGTGTGTGATTGCTGACTGCCTGGTGGTGCTTGAAATGCAAAGATGCAGGAGTTGTCGATCGTCTCGTTTTAGAAGTATGCGAGCGGTCAACTCAACATGCAAGGCCCAGGATTCGGCGTTTCGAACCTTGTTCATTCAGTTGTCTAGCCAGTGTATATTTTTGGAATCACGGCGAGACTCTGACAGCCATTCAATCAATCAATTTCGGATCTAGCCGGAATCTCAGCCCCGAGACGTGGTAACTTAAGGTCCCCGGACCCGAAACCCGCAGGCGCAGGCCAAGAAGACCATGGAGGCCCAGGCGCCGGGTGGCTTTGGTAACGTACGACAGATGTTAGGGCCGACCTTATCCAACCAGAGCCTACTTGTAGCCGTGGTTTAATTCATAAATGGCTATTCGCTTCCCCTGTATGCTCAACCCGGAGAAAATCACGAATGACTCGGCGAACAAACATTGTGCCGTTTTTCGGGTCCTGCATGCTTGAAACGAAACGGAAATTAGTAGCCGGCCACGAAGATTGCATAATCTTTACGTCGGACCAGTAGTACGACGGTACACTACGAACTTGGAGGAGGATTAGGGAATGGTGGTATCAGTGGCCACAGCATTGTGGTCTTATGTACTATAGGAGCATGCTAATCCTAGTACTACGAATGCTCAGAGCGAGCGCGTAAAACTCAGGATTGCAGGCGGCAGGGGGCTGCAGGCTGCAACGGCCACAGGGACGAGTGCAGGGGCCACAAGAACGTAGAATGGCGGCTTGGGGCCTTAGATCCTAGATCAGTAGCAGCCCTAGCATGACAGAAACATATAAAGCCGTGCGCCAGGACAAGGCCCAAGAGTCGAGCCTGCAGGATATGGAGGCCTCACAGCGGAGTGTAGAATTAACGGATACGAAGGGCAGGCGGGACAACACGAGGAACCTGATTTCCGAACCCCGTAGTTTGGGACGTTGAAGTGTAAGAAGTGCACTTATCGTCGATTTTGTATGTTTGTGCGTAGGTTGCGGTTCCGGTTATCTTTCAGTTCGTAGGGTCCTGATGATTCAATGAT